GTCCCAAATACCACAGAAAAAATAAAAGACAAATTAAATGTCTCTCAATAGGGAAATGGTTCATCAAATTATAGTATGTACTACGAAATATTTTGCCGGCATCAAAAAGAACAGGCAATGTTATATGTCATGGGAGTCCTCTAAGACATATTTTTAATAAAAAAAGGGAAGTAAAATGTGTCAAGAAAAATCCCATTACTATTTTGTGTGTGTGTGTGTGTGTGTGTGTGTGCGCACATGTGCACACAAATACTCAGGAAAACAGAATTGTTCTGGAATGCTTACAATGGCTATGATTAAAAAGAGGAAGAGCTACAGTGTCCAGGTGTTGTGCTCTGGAACTGAGCACCTGAAACCTGAACCATCTTGTTAGCCAGTGCCACCCCCATAAATTCAATGACAAGGGGAAAGAGTAACATCCAGGTAATTTCGGAACCACGTTTATGAACAGAGCTTTCCATAGTACTATAAAAGGAAGAGGAGTAAGGGCTGAGGGGTGTGTACAAAGATAGACTTCCTCTGTATTTTTCCATTGTTGTTCTAAGTTTACAACAGTAATACATTTATGTGTCACCTATGTAAACTGAAATATTGAAATGGAAAAAAAAAACCCGCTCCACAGGTCTTTACTTTTGGTCATCATCACTTCTCACTCTACAACTCAACACATCCAAAATCAACAGTCCTTTGCCCCAACATCCTTCTCTTTATCCCCTAATCTAGTTAATGACACCACCCGGTCACCGAAGCACGGGGTCTGAGAGCTCTCGGATGTGCCCCCCACACAGCCCACTTCCCCGATCTTCAGCAGTCACTACCTGTGACCCACGCCACCTCCTGAACTTGTCCCCTTCTCGTGTCCTCCCTTCCGTGCCACGGGTCAGGCTTGTTCTGATTTGCCTGCGTTATTACAACACTCCCCTCCCCCAATTCCAGGACCCCCTGTGTTCTCACCTCTGACTCGCTCCCGCCCAGAGATGTGCCTGAATGCAGTTCGGATCCCCTTCCTCCTCTGTTTAACCACCTGCAGCTGACGTGGGAATAAAGCCCAAACTCGGCCACTCCCCGTTCCACTCTCCCCCCGCCCCCCCCACTCGTCGAAGGCCTCGCGGGCCCCAGAGCGGCAGACTTCCTGGCTCCCGGGCCTTTGCACATGCAGTTCCTCCAGCGGCTCCCCTTTCCTGGCCTCCCTTGGCGGGCTCCCTGCCCCGTTCTTCAAAACTCAGGGTGAGCACTGTCGTTTCTGAGTTTCTGCTTGGGGTGGGGAGCCACGTGGAGATGAGCTCTTGACATTTTCTGCAACAGTCCCCTCCCACCACGCTTGGCTGCAGCCATCTTTTCAAGTCCTGATGCTACAAGTAAAAATTACTAAACATTTCAAGACGAGATGATTCCTCGGGACTTCTTCAGGACCGATGGGAGGGCACAAAAGGACCTTTGTCATCTTTGTTCCTATCACAACCCAATACTCCTTGCCATCAAATGTCTTCACTGGAGTGTGTCTCACTGTCCCCCAAAGGCCCAGGCATACTACAAATGTCACAGACTAATTAAATTAATTCTTGAACAAGAAGAATGACTGATGGGCAGCAAGGACGGAGAGGGACAGAGATGAGGGTGAGGCAGGATGGCCTGACTTCCCAGCAGAGATGCGCCCCCGACAGTGTGTTCGGAGCGTCACACTCTCACGAGGGGCCCTGCCCCACAAGCCCAGGACTGTTCACTGGGCATGTCCCGCCTTCTGGGTACACGCGGCGGCATGGAGTCTTTCCCGTTAGGGCGGCTCTCACTCTGAAACTCATTAATCCCGTTTCACTGGGTCCGGCAGACTGTAGAGACCAGCCAACATGCACCTTCAGACCCCGGAGCATGCGGGGATTCGGGGAGGCAGGGAACCACACAGGCAGGACGCCCTGGAAGGCGACTGCTCCGTTCTCTGCCTCTCGTGCCTCCTTTCCACCCATAAAGCCTGAGGGATGAGGAGCAACTGACTTACAATAATGACGGCTCCTATATTCGCCCAGCTCCCTTCTTCCAAGGAAACTGGGTGCCCTGCTAAGGCCTCCCCTTGATCGTCAGCCCTTCCGTGAGGGGGGCTGCTAGGCTGACCAATAAGACTCTGATCTGCAGGACAGGATCAGGGTGGGGAGCCTGGGGGTTCCTGCAATGCTCAGATGAGAGAACGTGTCGTAAGCAGGACTGAAGAGTCCACTGGCAATGAATAGCTTCAAAGAGCAGTACTGCCTGCAAGGCCAACTGTGGAAGTTTCTAGAAAGCCTCTAGGAAATATGTCAGACAGACGTTTTTAAGAGCTCGACTGAAATGAGAAAGAGCAGGAAGCACCAGGTGGGCTCTGCAGGCAGGGTCTTTCCTGGGCTGTGGGCCCCGTCACCGCCACCGCCGTCTTCTGTCACTGATTTCCACTGGCTTTTCCCCCAGAAAGATCTCAAATGCTGTCCTTTATTTAATATTGAGAAATCGGATGCTGTTTGCCTCACAGGAAGCGCCCGCTCCCCACCGGGGAAGAAGGAGCCGGCCTCAGAGGGTGCGGGTGCAGCGGGCTGACTCGCCGCTCGGCATCCAGTGTGCTCATTTTCTCGTGTTTGTCTCCTTGTTTATTTATTCACTTTCCCCCACCTAGACACAGCTATCATCTCCAGCCGAAAAGCAGACTATTGGAATTCCGTGTGCTGGTGTCCAATCGATCGGAGGAGATGGGGACACTGCTCGGCGGGTCTGTCTGGAATGTCTAGTGTTTTACCTGGTGCTTCAGAGAGGTCACAGCAGGTGAAGTCAAATGCCAGCAGCAAAGACGTGTCCCGGGGTTTAGACTGAGACAAGGCCCGGCGGGCCCCCCGCCCTCGTCGGCCACAGAGGCAGGCAGTGTCCTCGTGGACGGGCAGGAACAGCGCCGCACCCTCCTCTGGTCCCCCAGCCTTTTCCAGGTGCGCAGCTGGCCACGTGCTGTCAGCGGTGGCTGCTCCTGCTGACAAGCAGGCCGCCTGGTGGGGCGGCCCCTGGGCTCCAGCAAGGACTCTAAGACATGGGGTCCTTCAGAAGCCACGCTCTCACGGTGCTCACGCCACGCCGTCCCTCCCGGGCCTCTCCCTCCACAGGAGATGGAACCAGACATCGGTGTGGAGAACCAGCCACACTCCCTCCTGCACCAACAGTGTGTGACTTCTCTTTCTGTACACAGGATGGTTTTAAAAACTGTCTTGTATTCGGAAAGCACATTCTACTTAAAAATTGCTTTTATAGTTATATTAGTTAATCCCTGCAACATCCTGGTGAGATTAGCATCATTGCTAATTTTAAAGAAGCTGAGGTTCAGAAAGAAATACCAATATCACGATGTCAAAATATACGTAATGGCAGAGTCAGGAATTCAACGCATCCCAGCACAGTTTGCCTCTGATGATAAGCTCTTACCCCCGCGAATAGTAAAATTATTTACAGTAACTTCATAAATGCTTTAGGGATAATAAGCTACAATTTTACATCGATTATGTGGGATAACGGGAATTTATGCATCACCAAGGAAAGCAGGACATGGAAGCCTGTGATCTGCACTGTCAGAAAAGTGAGATGAGTTTACCGAGACCAAACAGGACCGGCAGACAGAGCGATGTCTGTGGACGGGGCCGGGGTCCCAGCCTGAGATGTGGAAATGGGGATAGGAAGGAAGACTAAGGAGCAAATGACAGGTGACCCAAGGAGGGGCTCGGACAAAGAAAAATCAGTGGCCAGCTGCAGTCATCACAGAAAATGCACATGCAGGGATGGGGGATGGGGTGATGGGAATTACTTATGGAGCTTCTTCTGAATAACATGAGAGTTCTGAGTTTCTGTCCCTTAAAACAAGCAGAGAGGACACCAGTAGGAAGAAAGGATGAGTAACAGAAAAATGAACAGAAATGATTCAAAAGTTCTCAATGTGGCTCATTTGGTTGGAGGTCCTCCCATACACCAAAATGTCCAAGGTTTGATTCCTGGTCAGGGCACATACCCATAAACATTGTTAACCAGAGAGGGGGCTTTGGGCTAAGTCAGTCCGGGGCAGAAACCAGCACGTGGGGAGCGGGGGAAGGAGAGGAGGTGTCATCACTGACTCACCGAGAGTTGTTCCAAATTCCTCTTCATGTCTGTTTGCAAACCGAGGCTTAGTTCCAGGGCTCAGAAGCCGAGCTCCCGGAGGACCCTCCCTCCCTCAGCTAGACATCAGACACCCCATCCATCTGCTGCGGGTTAAGGTTTCTCATCGCCCGCGTGAGACGTCATGGCAGGTGGGCTCTTGCCCTGAGACAAGCGAGGGGAACGTGTGCCAGGGGACCCGGCTCTCAGGGCTTGGTCTCAAATTTGCCTCTAAAAGCAAAAGGCTTGCTAAGTAAAATAAATAAATAGATAAATAAAAATTTTAATGCCTGGTTGCTAACCTTTAATTCATAGCATCTGAGCGCTAGGGAAATTCTGTATAGAGATTGTTAGCAGAGGCAAAGATCGTAAAATTTCAAGCAACACTAACAGCTAATTCATATTAATTAGTGATTTTTGGCAAGTAACATGGCATATTTATATGTTCCGCGGGGAACTTCTCAAAATGGCAGCAGGCGCGGAACTTGCGGATGTAATCCAATTTAATGTCATGCTCTACTTTTTTTTTTAATCCTCACCCGAGGACATTTTTCCATTTTTTGTTCAGGTAGAGTGGGAGGGAGAGAGAGGAACAGAGAGAGAGAAACACCGACGTGAAGGGACACATCGAGTGGCTGCCACCCGCACGACCAACCAGGGCCGGGGACAAACTGCAACCGAGGTACGTGCCCCTAGCGGGAACCGAACCCGGGTCTCCCAGGACCGCAGGCCGACGCTCTAACCGCTGAGCCAAACCGGCCAGGGCTGTCATGCTCTACTTTAAAAAAATGTTTCAGACTCTTACACCATCTGATGAGAAACGCACCTCCTGGATTTGAAATGAAGAGAACAGCTCAGGAACTTGCCTTGCTAAACACAATGGACACGACGAAGAAGTCCAGGAGGAGGCTCTCGGAGAGGCCTCTGCAGTCGAAGTGGAAGAAGATGACGGCGAAGCCCAGGTGGACAAACTGGGGGGCGGGGCTGCAGAAGGAGGCCCGGAGCAGCTTCATGCCGGCCACGGTCACCAAGAAGACGTCCCAGCTGTCAGGGGAGAAGGAGCGTGAGCAGTGGCGTGTGCAAACGACCAGGTGAGCGACAGTAGCTCACCGCTTGGCCTTTACCGCACATCTGCACTTTGTGAACACAAAACGCCAAACTGGGGGCCTGCGAGCACCCTCACTTGACAGAGCAGGAAACTGAGTCTCTGAGCTGGAGACTCAGTTTCCTGCCGAGTCACCTGTCGAAGGGCTCGAAGGCGGATCTGGGATTCACACTCAGCCCCGAGGGACTCTCCCGCACAGACTGCCGCTAGGGAAAGCTCCCGCCACCACCTGCTTCCAGCTGCCCCCGCCCCCCAGAGGACACAGCGCTGCTGGGAGCTTGTCTGAAGGCCTGCGGCGGTGACGGCTCCGCGGAGCTCCAGGGCAAGTGAGAAATCAGAGCACGCTGCCCCTGGGAGGCCTGCTCGGTGTTTTTACGATAGAGTCTTACTGAAGCAGCCATGTGACAACGGTCAACATGAAATTCTGCAAAGGGAAAACCCATCATCTCAACAAAGCCATTTTCACTCTTGCACATGAACTTCCCGCGTTTTTCTGCATATTTGCCATCCCAGTGCGCATGAGCTTCCCGGTCTCGCTCCCTTTCTGCTGAATGTCACATCACTGACATTTCCCCGTGGCACAGGCCAGGGAAGGAGCTGGCCGAGCCGCCGGGAAGGCGGAGCAGGACCTCGCTGTGAGGACTGCCGCCCTGGACGCTTGTGCAGGGTCAGTTAGTGACTCGAGGAGGGAGGACCGCGTGCATGGGAGCAGTTCCGCCAGCTCAGGGGGTCAACAGTGAACAACCTGTCCACCGTGAGATGGCCAGTCACCAGCTCAGGGGGTCAACAGTGAACAACCTGTCCACCGTGAGATGGCCGGTCGCCAGCTCAGGGGGTCAACAGTGAACAACCTGTCCACTGTGAGACGGCTGGTTGCTGGCAACAGCTCAGGACGGCCTGACAGAGTGTTGCCCTGCTTGAGGCCTCTGTCTTTCTGCAGGGGGTTTTGCATATCTTTTTTTTTTTTTTTGTGGTACGTGCCCCTAGCGGAAACCGAACCCGGGTCTCTCTGGTCCGCAGGCCAACACTCAGCCGCTGAGCCAAACTGGCCAGGGCAGGCTTCGCACATTTTAACCAGATTCCCCGCAACCATAACAGCCTCTGGACATCAAAAGAAGGACAGTGGTGAGAACGCCGTCCGGAGAATGGTAGCACTTGAAAGGATTTTCTTTTTCTGGCAAAACACATAAAACTGGGGCCATGCCTCAGTTTCCCTCAACCTCAAGGGATCCTGGGCTCCGGACCTCAGGTCACGGGATGAGGGCGTTTAACAAGTGCTTTCAAAGTCTTTGCGCCTCGGAGGTGTCCCACCGCCATCTAAGAGACCTAATGCTGGGGATTCCGTTCCCACGTCTGACATCTCACGTGCCTTCAGACCTGGGGCTCTGATTGGTCCCTCTCGCCTGATGGACGCCCCAGTGCGCTGCATCCCAGAGACACCAGCCCTTGATTACATGCAGGTTTGGGGATCGTGGGGATGCTCTCTGTCACTTCGCACAAAGTCCTCCGTGCTCCTGCAGTGCAGTTGTTCCACAACCCACCGTCCTTTCCCAGTGGACACCGGTGCCCACGGTGAGCACAGTGTGAGAGCCTGACAGTGGGTCCCGCGGCCCTTGACAACAGTCCCGGGCACAGTTCCTCGGGGACAGCCAACGCCCTGCCATGATAAGGGTCCCAAGACTAGGGATACTTTGATTTCAGCGACATGGGTGATGTCGGGGTTATCCAGGCAGAGCTGAAGGGCTGCAGTCGTGGCTGTTATAGCATTGCCATGGTGATGGCTTCGGTTCTGATTCATGGACTGTCACAGGCCCAGCTGAAGGTTTCATCAGGCTTACCTAACAGTCAGCGAACAGCGGCCTGGAACAGCTGTGAGGCATCCGTGTAGGTCAGGCCAGGAAATATGAATACCTAACAAGAGACCCGATTCCGGCCCTCGGTCATCCATCCATCCGTCACCACTCACCAGGCGGCTGGTATGGAAAGCTGAATAATAAACAGGGCCTGTGATGACCGCGTTCACTCTCTGACCGTCGGGCCAGGCGGTTCTCAACGGAGGAGGCGGGCGCAGTTCAACAGGCCTGGAGGCGACTGCTCTGTGGCCTCCTGCGGTCTGTCTGAGAACGGCGGGTCTGGAGGTCTGAAATCTCGGGAGACTTTGTTATTAAGTCTTCAGATGGATGCCTCAAGAACAGAAAGGACTGTCAGCTTTGGATTCTGAAAGAAAGAACTTTGTGGGTATCATCTGGAAGTTGAGAATACCTGGAGGTACACAAGTCAGGTGATACACTCTGTCTTTAGTGTCTGGAAAGAAATTTCAGGGATTACACAGTGAGATGACTTCAAGCTGGACTCTCCGAACTGTTCACGTGAGTCTGTCTGTTCTCAGCCTTTGCATCCAACCTCTGCCACGCCAGAGCCGCTTGGCCTCAACCTGCAGTCTTCGCCCAGGGCTGGTCCTGGGGCTGGAGGGGGAACTTGAAACCCTTTAGGCCGATGCCCCGGGCAGCACCGGTACCTTCTTTGCTACTTTGGTTCTGACTGAGTCCTCACCCTGGAAATGGAGGATCTGCCTTGTTCTAAGTGGTCATCCTGGGGTCAGCCGGGACTGTACCAGGAGAGCCCTGCCACCAGGAGGAGGACTTCACGTTCTAGAAGCAGCACCACCCCCTGCACTGGGCCCCACCCAAACTCTACAGGAACACCGTAGTCCCATCGTCCACCTTCTTTAACCAATGAGACGAATTTTCACCCCTGGACCTGAAGCCTGGGATTTTCAGTGCCAAAGACACGGGCTTCCTGCCTGGCCTAACTGAACCAGGCCTGGACTGGAAGCAAGGCAGGTCGGGAGGTTAGAGGATCATTTTGTCAGCGTCTGTTTGTGTGACCATGAACCCACTCCAAGTCCAGTGTTCAAACGCCTTGAAGGCTTGCCCAGTCTTTGGCAAACATTCGTGCACGTGTCCTCATCGCACCCCGAGAGGAAGAGCAGGTTTGAATTCGTCTGCTTGGGATTATGCATCAGGGTGGACGTGGGCATGTAATGTTTAAGCAACGTGACTAATAAGCAAGTCTGGGAAAGAATCTCTTTCATAACCTACTCTACCAACTTCCTTGATCAGAACCTTTTTGTCAGAAAGACAAATCCACAAATAATCCAGTAGATTTCCATTTGTAATTCAGAGTGAATTTTAATATATGAAACCAATGACTCAGCTGCACATTGTCAGTGCTTTGCACAAGCACGGGTGTCCTGATGACATGGCGTCTCTGTGCTCTGTTTCTGTCGCTGTGACGCTTCTCCTGATAAACGCAGAGAGAGCAGTGACATTCCCTCGAGCACAAAGTGGCAGACCATTAGCTAAATGCACCGACAGGAGGCAGGAACTCCGAGAACGCTGGAGTCGCAGGATTCTGACACCGTGTGAGCGCTCCCTAAGTGTGAGGGCGGTTTTCAAATCTACTGACATCTATTCACAACATCACTTCCAGCAGATCTAATGTCATCTGCACCCGTCACTCCCCAGATAACCACCCAGCCCGAGCACGTCTCAGTAAAAGACCACCATGAAGTTAGCATCAGCTGCAGCCTGTTTAGAGAACTTTCACTAGGCTTTGAAAACATTCTGTCAAATCATTAGGAGAATAAACCATTATCCACTTACTGGGTCCCAAGTCTCCGATAATTGCTTATTGAAAATGCATCAATAGTGAGGGCATTCAGAATTATTGCTGGGTACAAGATATATTTTTCGAAACACTGAAGCCAAACGTAGAGTCTTTCAAACCACATTAAATGGGCGATATCTGAAAGAAACACAAAAGCCACTTAGAACAGCCACTGATCGATTATTTGTCTTTAACTGCATGTGATAATAAGTACCATCTCCCTTTTAATTAAAAAGCTGCTGGTTTAGTAGACCAGACACAGAGCATGGTGCACCAATGTTCCTTCAGGGCGGCACCTCAGCTGTGTCCAACACAGTTCATAAATAATAGTATATAGCAGCAATTTTCAACCAGTATGTTGCAAGAATTTTTTTTTTTTTTTTGGTACGTGCCCCTAGTGGGAACCGAACCCAGGACTCTCTGGTCCACAGGACAAAGCTCCAACCGGTAAGCCAAACCGGTCAGGGCATTGCAACAATTTTTAAAACATGCAATACCCGACTAGCTAGGGACACTGACCTCTTATTTTTTTTAGATTGTCAGATTAAGAAAATGACAGCAGCCAACACAACAATAGCCATCTGGTGTGAATGAATCAAATTTATACCTATTTTCTTGTCAGATCGGCAAAAAATATATTTTTTGATGTGCTGCAGAGTTTTAGTAATTAGTTTATATATGCCATGAGATGAAAAGGGTTGAAAATCACTGATCTATAGAAATATAGGCCTTTCCCCAATTTCTCGAGTCGGTTGATTTTTCCAAATATAATTATTACTGGGAGGTTAGGTCTACTTTCTGGGCTCTTCTCTCCCTCTTTTTAACCTTTACATCCACAATCAAATTTCTGGGCAACATATGCAGATAAGAGAGAGCTGACCCCCAACCCTTCGCACCCTGAGTGTGTTCCATTCCGGTGTGATTTCCCGACAGGGAGGCACAGGGAGAGTAAGTCCATGTACGCAGGCTAAGCTTTTAAGTCAGACCAACCAGGGTTTGCATCCAGACTCTACCAATTACCTGCATCTTTCTGAGCCTCAGTTTTGTGTGTCCTGCCCATCCTCTGGGCCAAGCCTCTTTCCTACCACGCGCGGCAGAGGAGACAGCTGCTCCCCTCCCCGGGTGGCTCTTGTGGAAGGCACAGTTGCCGTGACTCTCAGGTAACACTCAGGACTCTTCTCTCTGGGAGCAGCTGTGCCTGGTCTGACTGGTCAGGCACAGACTTCTGTAGGACGCAGTGAGGGGCTGGGAAAATAATCCATTTCTGCCTCCGGAGTGCAGGACCAGAGCAAGAGCCAGAGGGCTACCGCCCGCCCCCAGGGGGAGAGCACACCAGGTCCAGGGCCAGGGTCCTCGGAGGGCCCACCTCATTACCTGCCGCATTCGCCTTTCTGCTGGTAACTGTGAGGCTGAGGTGGACCCCACACCCGAGGTGGGCAGTGAGCCAGATGTGCTGGGGACCGATTCTCTCCACAGCACGTCTCACCGCCTCAACCTGCAAATCTGACGGACGGCAACCCCATCAAACTGCTGCAGTCACATTCCTCAACGATTTATAACAAAAGCTATACCCCAATCATCTCTAGCAGAAAGTAAGAAAGAGCCACACCATTTCCACGTTGCTGGGATCACGAGAAGCCACTCATGAAAGAGACAGCTCACACTCACCACCAGTGACCCGCGGTGACATCAAAGGGCTGCCCCGCAGCTCAGGAGACAAAGTGCTGTTTCCGACACTCTTCCCTGGGACTTGATGTAACGGGTCTCAGGAAGCAACACAAACGCACACACGTACCACACACACAGAACTGGGAGCTGGTCGCTTACCTTCTTCTCATGTGGATGACACGTCTACATAAGAATGTATTATTTTTATAACTTAAAAACACAATTACTTTCTACATTTGATTTAAAATACAAGGAGTGGCTTGGCATTCAGAAATCTTGCTTGACAGGGATTAATCTGGATGAGATAGGAAAGGTGGGGATGGACAGAGAGGAAATACTTCATGACAGAGGAAATAAGAAACAGAATCCCAGCAACAACTGTGAGTAGAAGAAAAAGATATGAGAGAGCATCAAGATAAACAATTTTAAAAGGTAGTGATAAATGAAGCTGGAAGGGAGAGTTGGAGAAAAATTAAAAAGTAAGGATGTGGGGTAGGATTCAACTTAGGTATTCTTACGGTTAATATGCAATGTTCCCAAGTGTCAATTTGGAAAGGGGTTATTTCATAAGAAATGAAGTTTTGGGTAAAGGGTGGTAAACGTGATGGGTGGAGACCTGACGGGGTGGTGGACGCAGTTGGGTGTAGACGGTGTGCTGAGCTGTGCACCTGGAACCCTCTAACTTTGTGAGCCTGTGTCACCCCGATATGATAAAAAAGTAAAAGTTAAAAAAAGAAGTGAAGCTTTTGATATACAGTTCATAAAATGTAGGTATAGTATATATGTTACATATAGATAAAAGGGTTTTTATCTCTCGTGAAAGTGCGTGAAATACAAAAACAAATCTTCACGATCGCTCCCCATTCCTTCTAAGCTCCTTCCTGAGGGCAGGTGCAAGGCTCCCGCCACTGCCAAGTGGAAAGCGCCCCTCCCACCCGCGCCTGGGTGCCGCACCCCTGCCACCCGCGCCTCGTGCCGCGCCCCTCCCACCCGCGCCTGGGTACCGCGCCCCTGCCACCCGCGCCTCGTACCGCGCCCCTGCCACCCGCGCCTCGTGCCGCGCCCCTCCCACCCGCGCCTCGTGCCGCGCCCCTGCCACCCGCGCCTCGTGCCGCGCCCCTCCCACCCGCGCCTCGTGCCGCGCCCCTGCCACCCGCGCCTCGTGCCGCGCCCCTCCCACCCGCGCCTCGTGCCGCGCCCCTCCCACCTGCGCGGGGTGCCGCGCCCCTCCCACCCGCGCCTGGGTGCCGCGCCCCTGCCACCCGCGCCGGGTGCCGCGCGCCCTCCCACCCGCGCGGGGTGCCGCGCCCCTCCCACCCGCGCCTGGGTGCCGCGCCCCTGCCACCCGCGCCGGGTGCCGCGCCCCTGCCACCCGCGCCTGGGTGCCGCGCCCCTGCCACCCGCGCCTGGGTGCCGCGCCACTGCCACCCGCGCCTGGGTGCCGCGCCCCTGCCACCCGCGCCTCGTGCCGCGCCCCTGCCACCCGCGTCGCGGTGCCAGCTCCTGTTTGCGCAGCGCGCTTGCTGCAGAGGCGTCAGTGTCCTGCTCCCGCTTCCCGCTGAACCTTCTGCCCCTGGGTTTGGGCTTGTGCGCGGCGTGGCCACTCCTGACCTCCTGCGGAAAGAACTGATACCTCTCGGTCTACCCCGCTGCACCTGAGGCTGGAAACGTCACAGTCGTTTCCTTCTAAAACACTGTCCCCACGCCTGCTCAGACCTTTCCTAAGAGGCTCCTCATCCCTGCCCTTGGTCCCCTGCTGTCCTTGGATCTCTTTGTCATTGTCCTCATTTCCTCGAACTGAGGTCCGGCACCCATAACTTTCATTATTACTTCTGATGACACCCCTGAGCAACCGGATTAAGTAACACCTTCAAAGTGCCCCCCCACCCTAGTCACTGCCCACAAGGTAACCAGCCCCAACCCTGATCACAATGTCTGGCTCTTCCTACTATTTTCTGTGCCCTTTGCTCAACATGTTTGTGAGACTCGCTGACATTTTTGAGCGCAGCTGTCCCTTTTCCTTGTCCCGGCTCACCGTTCTCTCCAGCCTGCTGCTCGGGGCAGGTGGTCAGTCTCCCGCTCACGCCTGTGATGGGCGTGCTCCAGATCATCCTTGCACACGTCCTTCAGTAAGCGTGCACAGACCTGAGGTACACAGCCAGGTGTGGAATTGCTAGGTTATCAGTGTGCGTGCGGGACGCTCCAGGAGATGCCGCCAAGCAGTTTTCCAGAGTTACTGTGCCCGTTTGCACGCCCACAGACAAGGCCGGTGCGCCCTCCGTGTGCCCCACGTCCTGGCAACACGGCTCCCCCTTCGTCTTAGCTGCGCTGGGGGTGCAGAACGGGTGGCACTCTGTGGGGTTTGCGTTCCCTGGTGACAAGCCGCAGAGCTTCTCATGTTTACTGCCGCCTGGTTCTTCATGCCTGCTGCTTGGCTTTTTCCTCACTGATGTTTAGAGACTCTTCATACATTCCAGGTCTCTGTCTTTACTCAGATGTACGCATGGGGACAAGCTCCCATCTTATGGGTTGTTTTTTCACTCACTTAATAGTTATCTTTTGTAGAAAAGAAATATTTAATTTTGATATGCTCCAACTTCTCACTTTTTTTCCTGTTAGAGTCTTTGGTGTTCTTTTTCAAAGGACAAGGTCGTGACCACATTCTCCTGTTTTCTGCGGAGACTTTAACTGTTTCATTTTTTCACAGTTAGACCTGAAGCTTCTGGAATTAACGGCTGTGTATCATGCGAGGGGTTGAGACGGCTTGTTTTCCATGTGGACATCTAACTGGCCACCGCCATTCACTGCCGATCACTTCTGCTTGCCTGGCACTGCCGCCAACCACTCTGGCGACACGCCTTTGGGTGTGCTGGAGGCTGCCTGGACCGTCCTTCCACACTCCTACGAGAAACTCATCTTATTACAGACCCAGCATCCCGCCATCTGGAACCCCCCCGCCCCCGGCTGCTCCCAGTAGAATCACGACCATGGCTCCAGGCAGAGAGTTCGAGGCATCCCTCTCGGGGGCCACCCCACGCTGACACTGTTTGGATTCGGGACTGTCAGCACTTGGGAACAGTACAAATGAGTCTAATTTTCAATTGACTTTCTTATTGTTTCCACATTCTTTAGAAACAAAGTCCACCCCCATCCTGCCTGCTCCCAGCGGACCCCGCCCTGTCCGGGGCTCCATCCACTGCCACATCCCCACTGCTCGGCGTCGGCCAGACCCGGAGCCGGGCTTTCTGTACGTGTGACCTTCAGTTCCAAGGCTGAGCGTGTTACTCCCGTGTTGTCGCTGTGCTGTGACTTCCGCAGCTACAGCACAGTCGCCTCAGACAGTCATCTCAACGTCCATCTCCCACTGGACTGCGGATTCGTCAGGAGGAGGTGCCAGGTCTTAAATGGTCGGTGTTTCCATACCCAGCAGAAGGCCTCCTGGCCCAGAGTTAGGGCTCAGTAAATGTTCA